ATTCTTGGAAACAGCTCACTCTGACCCCTGCCTCTCCCTCCTCCTTTAGTTTACATGCCCAATGTGTCCCTCACTGCTGGGTCCTATTTCCTCCAGGAAACAGCAGAGCAGAGGTGGCTCACAGCTGCTGCTCCGGCTGGGGTAAAAAAAAAAATAGTATTAAAGCTGCAACGGTAGGCAGCAGAGCATGGAGGGAGGGTGAGGAAGGGCTCAGGAAGTAGGAGGGACAGGAAGGGAACCTCAGTGGGAGAGAATAAAGGTGGGAGCCAAGTTTTGCCAGCTCTGTATCTCATCTTAGAACCTACAGAATGAAGGGTGTGTAGAACAGCCCCCGACCTATGCAGCCCTAGAGTGCACAGGATTTTATGATAGCAGCTGGGTGAGCAGAGTCTGCTAGACCTGTTGAACCCTCACCAGACAAACACAAAGGGGTATGAATATTAGGGTGATAAATATAAGGGTTACTAGCTTCAGGAATCTGGATAAGGTGGCAGGAACTGAAGGAAGCATATGAATGAGGACAGGGTTTGGCAGGGAGGAGACTTCAAAAGGTTCAGATGAGCAGTCAGTTCTTTGGGGTTTGTCCAAAATAGAACATCTGAAGTTTGCCCATAACTAAAACTCTTATTTATGCCACTAATTAAATGGAGGAAGCTGACTTCAACATACAAAACAAATGGGCAAAGCAGATGCAGTCCCAACTATACAGATTGTTGTGGCTGTGTTGTCTCTTCAATAGAAGAAAAGGTTGAATGACCATAAAGTGCCAAGAAAAAAATATTTTGGCCAGTTTTTGCTTTTAAAGGAAACACCTGGACATGTTGGACATTACTTCAGTCTGTGTAATGAACAATACAAATTTAAATAAGTCTGCAAGAATTACATTTAAATATTATTTTACTACTGTTATCTCATTCAGACTTAAAATGCTAATTCTTAGTTAATGACTCTCAGCAAGTGCTTGATTCTTACAGAGAACTTCAATATTAAAATCATTTGAATGGACTCCCAATAGCTTGATTGTCAAGATATTTTACAAATTTATTAACCCTGAATACTCTTCACGATATTCAGAAAAGTTGTGCTCGTCAGAGAGTTACTGTAGTAAGTGCACCTACAGCAAGAGACTGCATGGTTCTTAAATTCAGAGGATGAGAGAGAGATTGATACGACTCTTACTCTTTTATGAGGAGGGTAGAATTAAGATTAAAATCACTCTTGATTTTCCTCAGTTGTTCCAGCATTTTTCATTGCTCTCATCACTTGGTGTCTGTTAGGGTTTACTGTGTTCTGGCTGCAGACTGAATCCTATGACCTGACAAAACAGAGGTGGTTTTTAAGCAGTCCAAGAGCTTCCCTCCTCACCTATCTATGCTTAGTATTATTTGTATTACATGATTCACTTGCATCAATTTTTCATTTTACTTATTTTTTATAGATTTATGTAACAAAAAACCCAGACATAATTTAAAAAATACATTAACAAAATACAAACCTGAAAATATGCACATCAATCAGACCTCCAACAATACCCCTCTTAACCCACAATGAGCAGCATTATCAGGCCCAAAAACCTAGGTAAAAAGACAGGTCTTGAAGCATGCCTTGAAGGTCAACTAATACTGTTTATTTTGGACCAAGGAACAAGTGATCTTCAAAGCTGAGGGCCTCTCATACAAAATGACCTGCTGGATTTAATTTTTTCTGTAAAATAATCACCTGGCAGATTTAAAATCATATTCAATGAAGAAAACTGGATCATCTTTCAAAGGTGCAATCCACAATATGCAAGTAACTGGGGCCAAATTTTCAAACTGGTTTCAACCATATCCAACATTTTGAGCGCAAAACATTGGACGTCCTAGTTTCTGTGTGGCACGCAAATCTAATTTGAGACTGCTGAGGCGGGGCAAATTTTGCAATGTGGATATGTCTCCACCAGGAGACAGACTGACGCTATCATCATTTCATGCTACATAGGCTAGACCGCCATCAGACGGTAATAGTTATTGTTACTTCATCTTTATCCATGTGAAAACATCAAAATGGTCCATTCTGGGCCAAATGACCGAAACCCGTTGAGACTGCCAAGAAGGTGCAAACATACCATCATCTCCCACTCCTGCCAATTCTATGGAAGACATATTTTTCTGTATTTTGGGCTCATTGTTTTGGAAGAGGGAGGAATGTGGCAGAACTGGGAGTGAGCATGGCCTGTGGAGAGCCATGTCCTGCAACATCACCACACCGTAAATCACAGGAATTGCCCAGCGTATGAGAAGACCGACAGTGTCAACATTGTCCTTTGCACAGGCCATCAATGTGCTATCATGTGGGGTTTTGGCCCAGGTATGGTCAGAGAATCAATAGGAGCACGCCATGTTGCCATGGGAGAGACCTAGATAACAACACAGGCGTCTGTATTCATGTCCTGGGCCTCTGCACTGGCTACTAGATCTTCAAGATTTCCCTGCTTGGGACCTCTGTCAGTTTAGAGAACACACAAAGCCACTCTCCTCTTTCCTCTTGTGCTCTTTCAACAGAATTAGGTGCATAGGAATCTTGACAAGAGGAAGATTCCAAATGTTGGGCCCTGTAGTGGGCATGAAGGAAAAAGAATAGTGGTATATGGAAATACACACAAAATGTGAATTGTTATTCACAATTTCTACACTTTTTGCCTGCTCTGTTACTGAAAATACTAAATATCACTTTGAGTGCAACATACAGGCGTAATTTTATTTCCAGCTATCTAATGCCAAATGTTAGAAAAGCTTAGAGGTCTTTAAAAGCAATTTTATTTCTTGCACCTTAAGGAGGCCAGCTGTGTTAAATGACAACTCCTTTGCAAAGCCAGTCCTTCTAATCAATGGTTTTAACATTTAATGTTGTTCTGTCTGGAGGCAAAATAAAGGTTTAAAAAGTCAGATGGTCTCTGGCCATGGCAATTATCTCCTATTGAAGAGACAAGGTGGATAAGAGAATATCTTTTATTGGGTCAACTTCTCTTGCCAACAGAAGTTGCTCCAATAAAAGATATTGCCTCACCAACCTTGCCTCATTAAAATACATTAATTTTAAAAATATATTTATAGTCTACCAAGAACTTTTCTATGCAATCAAAGTGAGAATCCTGAAAATACAGGGGATACTATTTATCTCAGCTGTTTAAAGTTGAAGTCATTGAAACTTGAACAAGATAACACAGCACTTCTACAACGGTTTCCAACTGAGTCTCAAAGCGCAGCACAAATATTAGCTGATTAATATCACAATATCCAGAGTAAGTTTTGTTAACCCCATTTTACAGATAGAAACTGAGGCCCAGAGAAGATAGGACCTAGTGACCCAAGTCACTATCTAATTTAAATATTACCCTACAGTATGCAAGTGTGTGAAAGGCATTCATTAGGTGGTCTGTGGACTGTATTTACTAGCTGTGGTGTAAAATCTAAATGGCTAGATTGTGGCCAGCCCTGTCTAGGCAGGCAATGGAGGCATGGTGCAAGGAGCTCTCCTCTCTTCCTGCTGGAGCTGCTTGCAATCATAGTCTTTCCCTTTCCTGAACAAAAGGGCTGCTTGAGCCTGGGGCCAAAGTACAGCTAGCCTCCACAAAGAGACAGGGAGGGGTGAGGGCAGAATTTGATGCCATGTCTATATTAGCACTTATGTTGGCAAAACATTTGTTACTCTAGGGGTCTAGGAGAAAAAAACAACAACCCACCCCAGAGTGACACACATTTTGCCAGCATAAGTGCTCGTGTGTAGCATGCTATGTCAGCGGGAGAGGCTCTCCAACCGCCATAGCTATCGCCTTTCATTGAACTGGTTTTATGTCGACGGGAGAGCTCTCTCGCATCAGCATAAGACGGCTATACGAATGCTCTTACAGCGACACAGCTATATTGGTACAGCTGTGCCACCGTAAGAGCGTAAGTGTAGATATGGCCTGAGTATACACTAGTGGTTCTCAACCCGCGGACCGCATGCAGCCCGATTAGCACACAGCTGCGGCCCAGCTCAGCTGTGTGCTAAAGGCCAGCCCACGTGCCGAGGTCCACCTGATTCCAGGCTGCCTGGCGCGGAGGGCTCTGGGCTGCCCGGTGTGGACAGGGCTGCCAGCCTGCCCCGCATGCCGGGAGTCTGGGGCTCCTGGCCGGTCCTGCGCGGTCAGGAGCCCAGGGCAGCCAGGCGGCAGGGGTTCATAGTGGGGTCCAGGGCAGCTGGCCAGCCCCATAGGGTCCGAGGTCAGGCTCTGGGCTGCTGGTGCCCTGCCAACCAGGTAACACATTGTGGGCTGCATATGAGTCCCACAATGTGTAATAAGTCGAGAACCACGGGTCTACACCCTTTACACTGGCTAGGTGATCCAGTACAGTGCAGGGGAACAAACACTGAAGCCTTTCAAAGAGCCACATGCTGCTCTTGTTTACACTGCAATAAAACTGTAGTAATTCCATTTAAGTCAAAACAGTTAGTTCATATTTGCACTGTTGTAAAAGAAACCAGAATGTTTTGCCAAAGAAGTAGAACACAGGCTGCTCAGACAATACATTCCCAAGTGCTCCTTGATACACTGGGCCTTCCTCAGAGGTCCCAAGTCCCCAAGAACAGCCACACTGGAACTTTGTCGGTAAAACTTTTGTCGTTCAGGGGTGTTAAAAAACACCCACCCTGAACGACAAAAGTTTTACCGACTAAAGTGCTAGTGTGATTAGCCCTTTGTCGGCAGGAGTGCTCTCCTACAAAGCTGTTGCCACTCATTGGGGGTGGAAGTCTTTTGTCAGTGGGACAGCTCTGTCCTGCTGACGAGCAGCAGCTACCCTCTGCACCTTTTAGCAGCACAGGTGTGTCGCTAAAAGGTGGGTAGTGTAGACAGAGCCTTACAGTCCAAATTTATCCCAAAGAGTTCATCATGATGCTATAATTTTTGCTGGCAATAAAATAATTTGCAAGCCTTTAAAACAGACAAAGCAGTTTAATCTTGAGATCATACTTGCCAAAGGAAAGGTCCCCGAGCCAAAAGAAATACAAGGTTTGATTTCTGCTTTGTTCTTTAAAAAAAAATAAAAACAAAATTAAAATACATTTTGGCACATTCAAAAAAATGGCTAAAGATAAAGCCTACATTTTAAAGATTTTTTTTTAAATATACATTTTAAACGTTTGCTTGATCATTTTACCATATTATATGCACAAGTAAATTAAATATCTGAAAATATCTATTCAAGGTACAGTATTACTAGCAGTATCAGTTTCAAGCAACCAAAATATAATTTTTAAAAGATAAAATTAGATTTAGATCTACTGTCCTTTGTTTGACCTACCTAATCTTACTGTTAAGGGAGAACAAAGGTTACTTTTACTTGGTGAAGAAGCAACAGAAATAGAACTCCATTTCATATCAAAATCTTAATCATACTTGCAAACATCCACTCACTACAAAAGGATATCTAAAGGACTGTAGATCATTGGGCATTAGGAACAAAGTTGTGCCCACCTGTTGGTTCAAGCCCAAAGTCAAATGAGCTGTTAATGATTTTTGTCTTTGTCTGGCATCCTTTAAGCTCAACAAGAAATAAAGTATTCAGTAGATACTTCAAGCAAAATTAATATTATTTGTTGTGTCACATACAGAAAGTGCTAAACCAAATTTTTAACCAGGCGCACAAAGACTAAAACCATTGGACTATAAAGTGCTAGTCTGAATGCATTTCTTACTTTGGGAGACAACAATAGATTGACATGTCAAGCTGACTAAATGTTATCTCTCCCATTGTGTACCTGACTGAGGTCAAAGCTGCTGAACTTTGCTGTGACCCATTGGAAACATTCCACATATGCTTTAAAATCCTAATGTACTGAACATTTGGCTAGTGTATAAAAAAGTTTACAATTCAGAAACCGGTGGATTTTTCCATATAGCGTTATATAGCAAGAAGAATACACATTGGGTCAGATGGTGAGAGAAGTTACAAACTTAGTGGGTTCCTTCCAACAAATGTTGACTGTGAATGTTAATTTGGTTTCAGCTTTACAGCCTAAGCAGTAATACAGCATCACAGTAAGTAAGTAAACAATGAACATTTATTGTGGTAACTGTGCTTTGATATAATCATAATCAGCTAACATTAGGCAAATTATGTATTAATAGAACTTATTACAAAGCATCCTCATGAGACAGATATTGCAATGCATATATCTGTACTACAATATGCTCACAAGACCCAAACCTACTGATATATATTTTAAACTTCCCTTTTAGAACATACAAAATGCTTGTATCCTAAGAACATTATCATTGTTTCTAAATGAATATTACTTCAGATATTATCTTGATTAACACATCTGATTTATAAGCTATAAAATCATGCAGTTTCCCCTCTCTGTAACTGCAAATGTTTTAATGCACTTTTATTCTGAATTAACTACATTAAACTATCAAGTGTGATTTGAAGTATTGCTGAGTAGTAGATGACTTGCCAAATGGAACACTCTCAATTTAACTTTCTCAGTAAAAGCTGAATCAAAGACAAGTCAACACTCTTAACAATTCACATAAAAACACAAAGCAGCTTCTGTCACTTTTATCTGACACTGAAAAGATTGTTTTGTTTTACTAAGCCATGCCCATTCTTTAAGCCAACAGACATTCCTACATATAAGCCACTGCCTATATTCTTAAGACAATAAATTCCATTTCTCCATAGCGAGAAGCAGTTTGTTGAGTTCATTTTACACAATTCTGAGCTGAAGAACAATTTATCACCATTGCCTGAGTTAGCAGATGAGAAAGAGTTAAAACCGTCTTATTTTCACATATATTGCTTTCTCCCATGTAGCTAACCTAAAGGCACCGAGTTACTCTTTATCCAAATGTATATTTATTTGTCATATATATTCAAAAAGATTTAGACAGGTTTGTCTACATTTACCTGATTGCAATGGGAGTGGAAAACTGAACTTGTAAAATATAAAACTTCTGGATTATTTTCCCAAAATAATTAGAAAACTGTTACTGATGTCAATAAACATAACATTTTATTGTAACGTACTTTTTATGACCATACACATTATTACTATTCTGACTGCTTCTGTGTTCAACGTACCTTTATGCTCAGATAATTATCACCCCTTGTCTTCGGAGCTGTAGCTCGGTGATTCATGTTGACACTTCCTCTGTTCTGAATTCAATGTAAAAAATGATTCCATAAAATCCACTTTGTCAAGACAATGCAAACTGTACAGAAGTCCATGTCATCCTAATAATTTCACTTGACATTTTTTCTAGCTTTCCTTCTCCTCTTTTGCATGTGATTTTACACACAGTAAATGTTCTCAGGAAACATTCTTCCCTGCCACTTGTCAGACCGTGAGAACAGAGAGTGTCCACTTCCAAACAGTACAAGTTGCTCTCCCACTGCTTCATTATGCATGCTGATGTAACTTCCTCTATCAGTGCAAAACAGAGTGCCTCCCTCCAAAAACATGAAACAATAGCTGCTCTCACTTAAGTGCCCTGCAGGAATCCAAAGGATCATCATGCTTCCCTTTTCATATTAAAAACAAAACTCCACTTCAAGCTGAAATTGCAAACCTTCTCCCATCAGAAAAGGAAGCTTCTCCAACACCTAACCCAAAACACTGGTAAACCTGCAAAAATACCTAGCAACTAATTTGTAAGTTATCTGATTCAAAAACCTAAGAACTAGACTTTCTGTAATAAGAGCCTAGTATTAGAGGCAATTCTATTATCTTGAATCTGAGGACCTCGGGCAGCTAATAGAAATCAAGGTATGAGTATTTTTCATTTCACATTCTCTTCAGATTACAATGGCTTTAGGCAACTGTTGCTGATGATGAAAAACACAGATGCACACCTAAATTAGGTAGGGCTGTTCACTTATCAGAGCAAATAAACTTTAGAAAGGGCTCTTTGAGGATTAAATACTTGCTGTGGTGCTCAAAGAATTTACTAGTGGGATGTATCAGAAAATCATGTAAAGCATGCAGTGTAATTTTAAAAGCACGTACTGACTTTTAGGAATAGCTACAAACATCTCTAGAGTCAGTGTTTCATTCTCTATAATCAGCAGTGACTTTATACAAGTAAATGTAGATGCTAGTGCCTTCTGTTACCATTTTTAGCCTCTTGTGAACTTTTTTAGGGTCTAGATATGCAGCTTGCCACTTTTAAAACAAGCACCACTCATCCAAACAACTAAAAGCAATATGACATGACTTTGTATATAAAATAAGAATTACCTCATATTTATACCACAGATGATAGCTACCTCAGGAATACGTTTGTGCCAGATAATGCTCAGCTGTTCTATGTGGGTTGGGGAAGCAAAGCGTTCCCTGTTGAGTCCCAGCACAATAAATATCTGGGCACGATTTCAGTCCAGTGTAGAGACTGCTCCCTGGTGCCCGGGACATCCCAAAAGAGGATAAGGAAGAGGTGGGACCATGGTCCCATCCTCAATGCAAAGGCCAGGCATACAGGGGAAAGCAGGCTGCACTCATTGAAGGGCTTAGTAGCACGTGTGCTCCTCCAGCAGGAAGCAGATTTCCTCCTGGATCTCCACTTGGGGCAGGTGCAGAATGGCACAGCCCTATATGATTAAACACAGTTTCTATCAACTTGCCTTGATAATGCACCTGCGCAAACACCAGGGAAAGCAGTTGGATTGCTTTGTATAAATCATTTCTGGGCAGGGTTGCTTCTGGAATACATTATCATCATCAGATGTCAGGTAAATACATGTTAAAGACACACAACTGACAAGTATTTGAACAAGCATTACTCTGCTAATACTTTGGTCTCCTGTGCTACAATAATTGCATGCACGTTTAAATTACTGTACTGTAACTGAGATAAATGAGAGGCAGGGAGTGCACAGCTAAACTCACTGCTAAATGGGACATTGTTAAAATATAGCAACAGTCATTTGGTGAATTTGAGAGACTCCAGGTAGCATCCATAGATGTTACGCACGTAACTGAAGGAAGAACCAACCTTAAATTCTTATAAAGTCAATTTTATAATTCTTTTTATACACCCAGCACTTTACAAACACATACAGTAAGATGACAAGCTCTGTGCCCAAGGAGGGGGCGGCTGGGAAGGATCGCGGGACAGGGGCCTGATGGTGATGTCCGGAGGACCAGGGATGAGGGGAGGGCAGGGCAGAGAGCACCCTCTCTCAGGACCCACTAAAGGAAAGCCCTAGAGGCTATAAGATTGCCCTTATCTCTTTGAGTATATGGCAGAGGACGTGAGGGGTGGAGAGCCCCATGCGGTGGCTGAGCACGAGGGGGTCCAACCAGTTCCTCTGGTCATAGTCCAGAAAGTCTCCGATCCTGGCAGTACCCGCCAGGACTAACCTCCGGCACACCAAGGGGGACTCTGACACCTGCACAGTGAGATAGGGGCTTGTGTAGCAGGGGCTCTATGAGGAGGTCCTACCCCTCGGCAGCTGCCATGGAGACTAGCTTCCAGGTCCTGAGGAGGTCCTGGTAGAAGACCAGCAGCTCGGAGAGGTCTTGTGAAAGACCCATTGGATGGAGGTAGAAGGGCTGCCAGTCATATCGGAGCCCTCAGAGGCGGAGGAGGAAGGCATGCGCCAGCGCACTCCATGCCTGACTACCTGCACCTTATAGGAGTCTCTGCAGGGCCTGGAGGCGGAAGACATGGCCCTAATCGCAGCCCTAGTATAGACAGGGTATACAGACAGAAGGAGTTTTTCTGTTGGTATAGCCTTAGTTAAAATCAGTACAATTTTTGTTGGTAGACAAGGCCTTAGGCTGAAAACTTTTTGGGTCAAGGACTGCCTATTTATTATATGTGCGCACAGCTCCTCACACATTGGATCCTGATTGGGGCCTCTAGGCTCTACCACAATATTAATAATAATAATTTATGGGATTAAGCCCCTTTTTTATGAAAAGGTGAGGTGCAGTTCAGACACACCGATAAACTGTAACTGGAAATTTTATCGGCTCTGCCCCATTCCTTTAAGTAGATTACCAAACTGACAGAATTTTTCTTTTTAAAAGTAGTTACAACACAGTATCAATAATTAACTTTCTACAGAAAATGTATCTGGAAACTTCCATTTTGTTCTTCATTTCCCTCTCCGTGATCTCACAGCACAGTAACCTTGTCCTTCTAGACCAGCAGTTCTCAAACTGTGGGTCAGGACTCCAAAGTGGATCACGACCCCGTTTTAACAGGGTCACCACCAGTGTTCCCTCTAATTTTGTATGTCCACGTGTGGAATGAATTTTGTTATGTGCACCAATATGGAGGCAATGTGTGACACACCGCCTTCATATTGGTGCACATAACAAAATTCATGTGGTGGTGGGGAGCGGCCGAGAGGTTTGGAGTGTGGGAGAGGGCTCAGGGCTGGGGCAGAGGGTTGGGGTACAGGGGGGTGTGGGCTCTGGGGTGGGGCCAGGGATGAGGGATTGGGGATGCAGGCTCCCTCGGGGCTGTGGCAGAGAGAGAGGACTCCCGCCTCCCCGTCCAGCCCTCTCTTCATTGCAGCAGCACAGGGCCAGGGGAAGAGACGCCTCTCCTTGGTGGCAGCTCCAACGGGGCTGAGCTGAGCCAGGGGAGGGGCTCCTCTTCCCCGGCAAATCTGGGGTAGGTCTGCGCTGGGACAGCCGCGGGGGGGGAGGAAGGGGGGCACACCTCTCCTCCACTGCGGCAGCCCTGTGCTGGAGGAGAGGCATCCCTCCCCGCCGCAGTCCTGAGCCCCTGCGCGGGGCTTAATAGGCAGCTGTGCGGCCGTGCAGCTTAGAGGGAATTTAGGTCACCAGAGCTGGCTTTAGACTTGCTGGGGCCCAGGGCCGAAACCTGAGCCCAACTCTGAGCCCAGGCAGTGGGGCTCAGGCTTCGGCTTGAGCCCAGGGCAGCGAGATTCAGGTTACAGGTCCTCCTGCCCAGAGCTGAAGCCCTTGGGTTTCGGCCCCAGCCACTCAGGGCGGTGGGGCTCAGGTGGACTCAGGCTTCGGTTCCCCCCCTTCTGGGGTCATATAGTAATTTTTGTTGTCAGAAGGGGGTCACGGTGCAATGAAGTTTGAGAACCCCTGGTCTAGACACACTGGTTCATTTGCACAAGATTGATGCAAGGTACTCACACCTTGAAAAGCTAAGTGCCATTCCTAATGCTCAGTCCCAGCCAGCCCAAGGAGCAAAACCACTGAGCTCAGGACTTGCACTTTAATCCTCTTGAAGGCAGCATGATGTGCTGCTCTCAGGCCTTAGATTACCCCATAGCACCGAAGTTAAGTCAACCTAACCCCTGGTCAATGGAAGAATTATTCTGTTAACTAGCTACTGCCACTCAGAGAGGTGGGTACCTACATCTATGGAAAAATCCCTTCTGTCAATGTAGGAAGCGTCTACGCTACCGTGTTACAGTAGCATAGCTGCAGCAGTGCAGCTGTGCCAGTCTAGCGCTAGTCATTCAGACATAGCTTGAGACTGCCTGGACCTATTTTTTAGCACTCAGTATCTCCACTATTTAAAAAAAAAAATGAGTTTTAGTTGCAAAATGTCACTATAAAAATATAGGTGCCTTTTCATGACAGACACATCAACAAAGAAATCAGAACAAACATTACTTTTTTAATTAAAAGAAAATGCTCATTGGGAAGATACCTTGCATGCTGCCTTTTTAGCTAGGAACACACTTAGCTTAAATAAGTTATAAACCCCTGAAAATATGATGTTGTGATTATATTTAAAAAGCACTAGAAGAGGCTATTATAGGAGGAGAAGTAGCAATCCCTACATTATGGTGGATTTATACTTTTCATTAAATACTTCTCATTATAAAAAATGTCCAACTTTTTTTGTTTTTGAATAGCTCTAATGTCTCCCTGATTTGCAATAGGATTTTGAAATTTAGTAGGAGGATAGTTCTGGGTTTAGAGAGGGTTGTTTGCTATCCCCATGAAAATCCATTAATCTTTGACTGATTTACAAATTGTTGAGAATTACCATTTGCAGTCGGCATTGTGCTTCATAGCACTCACTAGAGGCTTGCTGATAGAATCATTCAACACTCCCACCTGCAGTGAGCATGCTCTTCTGTGCCTCGCTTCAACATTCCACACAAAATGGAACCTCTGGATGGTACACAGGCAACAATGGATCACCATCCTTTTCCCTGTCAAAATACCCTTTGGCCTAGGGAAAATGCATTGGGCTGGAAAGCAGGAAATCAAAAGACTCTATTAGTATGTTCTTCACAACCCTTATTAGGGAGCAATCATCTTTCTATATGGGGCATTCAAAATATACCATAATGTTGGGTTAATTCACTAAAAATAAACTCCTTGCCATTCACCTTTGACCACATGATTTAAAATCTGTCTTTTTATTGTGTTTATTGAGCACCTAGCACAGTGGGGTACTGGTCCATGACCGTGACTCCTAGGCAGTAAGGAGTGTGATAAATGATAAATAATAATAAATTACCAAAAATATCTAAGTAAACTAGGTCTACAACTCCTGAGTGTAGACAGAGCATGGATCTAGAAAAGGAGTTCACTTAAAAATATATATGTT